ATTTTTAATATTCACTGATTTTGGAACCTTGCTCCAGTCCACATCATCAAAATCCTAAAGCAAGATCAATGTTTTCTCTCGTCAACAACTAAAAAAATCTGATGAACACACCACATGACTTCATTGTACGGCCTATGAAATTATACACAATATTTTGCTGCATGTCATTTAAACTTATTTCCTCGAATTTCATTAGAGATATATTTCTTATTCAATTAATTCAGTTCTCATTTCGAGGGAAAAAAAACTTCATTAAAAATTATAAAATACAGAAAAAACATAGAAAACCAAATACAATTAAAACAGTTAAAGAACAATTTTTTACAATTAAAGTCAGAGTTTCTATGGACAAACAAGCAATTCCGCCAGAGGACAAGAAGACAAATTTTTCGGTGCACAAAATTTGAAGTTTACTTTTGGTCCCACTCTGCAAAAAGACACTGCTGATGCAGAACATATAATTCACTATTCTCCTAAAAGTTTCAAATGTAAATAAATGGCGGCTTCGTTAAGTTTAGTAGCACTTAAACAACTTTAAAATTGTTGATAATTCTACAACTATTGCATGCATATTAACTAAATGCATAAAAACCTTAACTGGAAGATAAGAACAACATAACGTTATCATTTTTAAAGTAAAAATGCACAATTTACCAACATATAAGAATAAAAAAACTGAGCTCATTGAGCCGAGTAACAGAGTGGATATACATACATATATATATATATATATATATATATATACTTTTTGCGACCGATTACCACCAAAATTAGAGGTGCAAAACTACATGCTATAGCAGTCCCTTATACAAAATTTCAACGTTCTGAGGCTACTTGTTTTTCAGTTACGCGAGATACATACAAACGTACGCACGTACAGATATCGCGAAAAAATCTCTTCTGAATTTATTTTAAATCCATTTTGGGATTGGGTTGGATTATTCAGTTATGGCAAAACATACGAGGGCTATCTGTCTAAAGGGGGGGATGCTTTCATGTATGTCTTTCTAAGGGAAACTGGCTCGTATACACGTTACACATGGGTAAAACTGAGAAAACGCCCATGCAGCCAGCCCGTTCGCGGGATTCGAACCTCGGACCGAACTACCACTGTTCAGCGTCTTTACCGCTCGGCCGCTGGTGGACAAATCCATTTTGAAAAAAAAAAAAAAGTCCCTTAATTTTTCCGTAGGTACAGATGTCACACAAAAACATCTTTCAAATGGATTCGAGAGCAGTCTAAATAAACACTTTCATTAAAATCTGATACCCGAAATCTGTCGGGATTACAGTACTTCCTTTACTTCATACAAGGAAATAAAAATTACAAAAATAAAATAATTTCCTAGAAATCTAAAATGTATCAGCGAATTTATTTCACTCTAGTGAGAAAATATGTATTTTATGTAGTAAATAAAAGGGGATGAATACATCAACCTGTGTTTTAAAATTAAGCAAAATTCTTTTGCTCAGCATTCCTTTTATGAAATGTTTCCCTTAATTCTAACACCTGCCATTTTCTAGCAAGTGTTTCTAGCTTTTCACTAGGTATTATCTGGAAGATTGCTAAATCCATGTCGCGCTTTTTCATTTCGGCATGAAGAATGTTCTTAAGATTGACATTCATAGTAATAGGGATATTCATAAGACATCTAAGCCTTACGCAGTATTCGAATCCATATTTGGGAATAATGGAGAAAGATATATGTAAAATTGAGGCAAATTATCCATTTCAGTTATAGTGTTACCAATCCGTCTTTCATATCAAAAACCGTATATGAATTTCAGGAGAGTCTTTTTAACTCCATCATCTCCAAACAACAAAAATATCCACAGCTGTTATGGAAATTTTTGAAAGTTTTATCTCTAGAAAAGAAAAATCGTTACCGATAATAATAACATTTATTATTTGCGATTTAAAAAAGAAAAGATTGTGGAAAACAAACATAGAGTTCAGACAAAATATAAGCTTGCGAAAAGCAGTTTATTCGGCAAGCGAATGTTTGGTTTATCCAAATTGCTACAGTTGGGAAAGTGTTCAAAGAGAGATATGTCACTGCTTTTGATAATCCATTCGTCAAACTTCTATTTTTGTTACTTTTATTTCTTATCTTTTAATGAAATAACCTTTTTACTTCCTTGTACGAAGTAAAAAGGAAGTATTGTAATCGCGAAAAGTTTCAGGCAGCATATTTCAACGAAAATATCCATTTTGACCGCTATAGAATGCAATTTAACGATGTTTTTGCGTAATATCTGTACGTAAGGACAGAATAAAAAACTCTTTTCCTTCAAAAAAAAATATATATAAAACTGCTTTAGAATCAATTCTAAAGAGAATTTTTCGTGGCGTCTGTACGAACGTGCGTATCTGGCATAACTCAAAAACGAGTAGCCTCAGAACGTTGAAATTTTGTATATAGGACTGCTATAACATGTAGATGTGCAACTCGTATTTTGGTTGCAATCGGCCGCACGAAACGTATATAAATATATTTACATATATATATCCACTCTGTTACCCGGCTCAGTAATCTCAGTTTCTTTACTCTTATATGTTTGTAAATTGTACATTTTTTGCTTTAAAAATGATTAAATTATGTTGCTTTTAGCTTCCGGTTAAGGATTTTATACCTTTAGTAAATCTGTGTGCAATATTTTTAGAATTATCAACAATTTTAAAGTTGTTAAAGTGCCGTTAAGCCCTTTTTTTGACGGCGGCCATTGATTGCTTACATTTGAAACAGTAGACTAGTGGATTTCTTGCCAATCTAGAGAAACTTAGCTTCCTAACAACAAAGATAAGCCTTCATTTATTATTGCCAATTAAATCCTGCTTAATACTCTCTGGAATTTTTTTGAGGAAATAAGTGTTTAAGATTTACTTCGTAATTTTTAATAGAGATATTTTGAGTTTTTATGTACTTTTGCCTTCTCGCGAAGTGAGAACTGAATTAATTAAATGAGAAATACGCAATCGTCTGTGAAAAACTGTTTCTTTTTTGTTTTGTTTGCTTAATTTCTTTTATACATCATTCTAGCTTTATTATAGTATTTGAATAGAACATCTGGCAACGATTAGATAATTCTCTTCTTTGAATGATATAAATTTTGTGCATTATGAGTTATAATATGAACGAAATATATACGTTAACTGTTATATAATTATTGTATAATATAACAGTTAACTTAGTTTCCGTTATATAAATATTATATAAGTTAACTGTTATATAATTATTTATACTGTTAAGTGAATCTAGCGCCAGAGTGTCGCTATAGTAAACAAATACTAGAGTGAATTTTAAAGAATGCATTTATTCTATAGTGGTTTATGCGCTGTCGGCGAAGTAGATTTAGTTCAATCCAATAAGTGTAAATGAAATGCAAGAAAAAATGCGTATAATTTAATATTACAATACAAGGAGGTCATGTGGTGTACACATCAGATTTTTTCTTATTGACAGCTTAATATATAGTCAATATATCTGAGTTACGAGAAAAATATCCGAGTTACGAGAAAGATCTTCGATGAGAGTTTTGTAAGTTAAATTACATCATATTCACCATCATGTATAAAGAACAGCTCTAAGAATCGATGAAATCAACACTTTTACCTTCATCTAATTCTAGCTATTAGTGATCTAGAGCTGATGTTTAAATGACATATTCACAACAGATTGACACAGTATATTTTTACTTCCTGAAGAACCCTTTTCCTAAACTGTTCATTGACGTGCGTCAAATTTTTTTATAAAAATAAAATCAATCTAATGGTGAGTTTGCCAAATTTGAAAGTAAGTTAAAAAAAAAAAATCTGAAATGTTTCAGATTTTAAATTACGTCCAAGGGGCTTTTTTTTTAACGTTTTGATGTTACCTTTATTTATTAAATATCATGTTTCTTTGCACTTAAAAACATAAAATTCAGTTCAAGAGCAATATCGCAAAATAATGTTAATTAAGCATATCTTTAGAATTTCCGATTACACAGTCTCGCGAGCTGGAGATAAAATATTTTTTTTTTATATATATAACGTTGCCATTTCTCGCTTTTAAATCATTGAGTTTGTAAATCAAAATTCGTTAAAGTTTTTACAAATATAAAATCGATAATAAAACAAATTCCAAATTTGGGATTTCAGATGCCCATATTCGCAGTAGGATTACGTCATTCAAAATTCGATGGCTCTATGGACCATTGTTTTATCACAATGCGAGATATAGACAATCATTTATGCAGATTTTTCATTATTTAATTTCTTCAAATATAATGCAGGACTCTAACATTTTGTGGCAACAGTTTGAAAAGTGAACCGACGTTTATGAGTCCAACGCAAAATCGCAAAACGAAAACAATAGTCTTCAGGGACAAAGCCCCTTTGGACTAAAAAAAACTTTTGAATTGCTCTTCCTTGTTTTAGAAACATTTATCAGAAGTGAATTTTGAAATATTTTAAAACCAAACCCGAATGGTTCTGTATCATATAAATACTATGACGTCAGAAACACCTTTTTGTAATTTTGTAAGAGCTCTACGGCTGCTCGTAGTTTAGTTATGCGGGATACTTGCAAACGTACGTACAGATGTGTCGAAGAACATCTCTTTTGAATCCATTTTACAATACCTTTTGGGAAAAAAAGGTTCTATCCATATGTACGGATAACACGCGAAAATCGTTAAAATGGATTCGAGAGCGGTCAAAATGGATGTTTTCATTGAAATATGACACACGAAATTTTTCGCAATTACAATACTTCCTTTACTTCGGGGGAAAAATAAAAAAATAATGGTATAATTTACTAAGAATTGCTTTTTAAATTTGTTAATATGTCACTTATTGCACGGTCTTAATTGAAAAATAAATCCAAAGAACTGACGTCAGGTCGAAAGATAATATTCTAGAATTTGGCTATCGGCAAGACGTTTCCCTTTTTTTCGGGGAAGGAGGTTTATATTTAAAATTAAGCAGTAAAAAATGTCAAAAATGACCTGAAACATACTTGGAAGCAGAACAACTTCCAGCTGATAACCACAAATGAAGTTCAGCATTTCCGAAAGCAGCAAGTCTGAAAGCTTCTGTGATATCCTCTATTTCTCTTTTGGATTTGTAGCACAAGAGCTGTTTCCCATCCTTTTCGCATGCTTGCACTGCAGAATGCCAGTCCACTTTCCAATAGTAGAAATAGCAAGTGTTAAAATCTAAAAAAAGAGAATTAATGAAAGTTTATTTTATTAAGCCAACTTACTAAAATACAGATAAAAATTATTTTTTTACGTGACTTGGAGACAAGACCGTGGTTTAAAATGCAAATAGTAGAATAAAAAATATACTTCATTTCGTGATATTGAGACAATTTTTTTTTTCTGTTAGTTATAGAATACATTCCAAGTCTTTTTTCAAAATAAATTTTAAACTATCTAAGTTTTTGTCTGATCACGATAAATTTGAAAACAACTGTTTATTTTCAGCGAAGGGTCAAGCAAAGTGATTGCACATAAAAAGTACATCAAGATGCATAATATTTAATTTTCTCTTGTCCTTCTTTTGTTGGCCTAGATTGTGCCAACGGAAATATTTAAAAAGACTAGGTTGGAGATGGTCAACAAACTTATCTGCTTTTGTAAAGTTCGGAATGCTGTTCTTAGTTCTCTTTGTTTTAATAAAGCATATAACATTTAATTAATTAATTTTTATAACTCCCGGGTTGTGCATTTTAGTTTCACGAGAAGATTGTGTGTATATCCAAATACACTCATGTCCATAAATTAAGGATAATGCAAAATCAGGCAAAGGAAGAGTTAGAAGCAAAACAAATTTGACCTATTTGTAAAGCTTATTTATTAAACAAAAGGTAAAGAGCAAAAAAAGATGCTATATGTTTGATATTATTTTTAAAAAATTAGCGATTTTTTCCCTGGAGCAAATTACAAAAAAAAAAAAAAAAAAAAAAAAAAAAAAACCTTTTTACAATAAACCAATACTACATGGTTGGTATGATTGTTAATACATTGTATGTCTCCTAGACGATGCAATACAATCCGTACAACGCCTAGGCATGCTGAGTATCAAATTATCGATCTGATCTTGGGATATTACACCACTCAAAAAGCAATGCTCTCCGAAGTTCCGGTAGACTTGTAGGAGGAGGTTGACGGGCTGCAACTCGTCGGCCAAGCATGTCCCACACGTGCTCTACTGGATTCAAGTCCGGTGAGAATGCTGGCCAGTCCATACGGGTGATATCCTCCGATTGAAGGCATTCGGCTTACGATGTTTGCACTGTTAGTACGGGCGTTGTCATCCATAAACACAAATGTGCCCCATGGCGCCCCGAAACAAACGTACATGTTGTTCCCGAACGACGTCCGATAGATTTGGGCTTGTCCATGTTCCAATTTGAACATGCAGGTCAGTTCTGGAACCCAGAATAATTCCACCCCAAACGAGCACTCCTGCACCACCGTAACGGTGTCGTTAATGATGTTTTCTTGGTGGTAACGGGTACCTGGAGCTCTCCAAATGAAAGTCCGGCGAAATCAGAACTGGGCAAGCAAGCTAAACCTGGACTCGTCGAAAACATCACACAAGCCCACTGTTGCGGGTCCACAAGCATGCTCTCTACTCCAGGCTAACCGTAGGCGACAGTGAGTTGCAGTAAGTGGAACGCATCTGACAGGTCTACGAGCATATAGACCAATCTGCCCTAAGCGTCTGTACACGGTCTGCCTTGAAATTGTCGTACCAGTGGCTGAAGAGAGCTGACGAGACAGGTCTGAGGCTGTGCTCCGCCTGTTTCTTTTGGCGGTAACTGCCAAATACCGGTCCTCATTTGGCGTTGTAACTCTGAGGCGACCTGTGCTGTAACGTCTACTCACATTACCATCATCTTGGAATCGTTGCCAAATCCTGGAGATGACACTCTGGGCAATTCCAAGTTCGTCTGGTGCCTCCAGTTGGGTACGCGCACATTCCAGACGGCCGATAATTCTACCACGTAAAAAATCACCTAAATGCGTCTTTTGTGTCATAACTATTCGGTTATTGCACTGAAATGCTTATAAAGCGCCTGCGAACAATTTTACTTTTTTGCCTGTATTCCTTATATATCACTCTCTTACAATCTCGTCATTGTGACGTACCATCGGTGTCATCTGGTTACTTCCTGAAATTTGCATATGATTCTTGAAGATGTGTGCAGTGATTTTACAGGTGATATATTTATTTTAGAGTTCGATTTCCGCGTGACTCTGAATTATCCTTAATTTATGGACATGAGTGTAAAAAAATATGATGTGGACACCATACAACTTCCTTGTACGCCTATTAAATTATACACAATTTTTGCTGCATTTCATTTAAACTTATTTCCTCAAATTTCATCAGAGATATATTTCTCATTAAATTAATTCAATTTTCACTTCGCGGTGAAGCAAAAATACATAACTCAAAACACTTTCAATAAAAAATCGTAAAATACAGAAAAACATAAAACACCAAATACAGTTAAAAACAGTTTAAAAAAAACAATTTTTACAATTAAAATTAGAGTTTCTAAGCCAAAAACAGGAAATTCGGTCAACGGGGAAGAAGGCAGATTTTTCGGTGCACAAAATTGAAAGTTTAATTTTGGTTCCACTTGGGAAAGACAGTGAAGGTGCAGAAACTGAATTTACTATTCAACGCATTTTGCAAACAAATGGCGGTTCGTTAGGCTTAACTCGAATCGTAAAGTCTTAAATTGTTGATATTTCGACAACTATTGTATGCAGATTAACTAAATGCATAAAAAACTTAGCCGGGATATAAAAATCACATAATTCAATCAATTTTAAAACACAAAATACAATTTACCAATACATAAGGATAAAAAATAAGCTCACCGAGTCAGGTAACACAGTAAGAATATACATATATACGTTTGGTGCAGCCGATTGCAACGAAACATGGAGGTGCACAACAACATGTTATAGCAGTCTCGTATACAAAATTTTAACGTTCTACAGCTACTCGTTCTTGAATTATGAGATACATACATACGTACTTACTTAGGTACGCACAGACGTCAAGGAAAAAACTCTTCTAAATTCATTTTACAATCCTTTTAGGCAAAAACTGTCCCCGTACGTACAGATGTCAAGCAAATACATTGTTCAAATGGTTTCGAGAGTGGTTGTAATACGATACCCGAAGTTTTTTGCAATGACAATAATTCCTTTACCTCGTACAAGTAAGTAAAAATAAAAACTTAAATAAAATCTGAAAGGTTTCAGATTTTAACTCTCGCCCAAAATGGTTTGTTAAGTTTTCCCCCCCTCGCTGATTTCGCAGTTTGCAGGTCTGCTGTTACTTGCACTCCTACTAACCCATTTTTTGTATCTTTTTAGCTTTGTTAGTAAGTAGCATTTTCTTTGCACTTTTATCATATACAATTCAACAGCAAAATTGCATAATTTTTGAAAGCAGCATGGTTGCTTTGGATTGGTTTTTTTAATTATGGCAAAGCACACTAGGGTTATCTGCCTAAGGGGAGGGATGCCTTCGTGGAGGACTTTCTAAGGGAAACTGGCTTGTATACATGTTACACATGGGGAAAACCACGAAAACGCCCATACAGCTAGCCCGTTCGCGGCATTCAAACCTCGGACCGAACTACCAGTGTTCAGCGACTTTACGCTTGGCCGCTGGTGGGCCGAAAGCAGCATGGAAGTACACGTTTAGAATTCCGATTGCAACGTTAAGTGTTGCCATGCATTTTCTTTTCCGATTTTTTCTCAGTTCGTATCCATACTCAGTTTTCTTACTAAGATGACTTTACAAAACTTTTTTTTTGTCTTTTTATTATTAAACTCTTGTGTGCTTTATTAAATATCACGTTCTTAGCGCTTATGCTGTAGTGTTCTGCTTATTTTTACTAATAGTTATTTTATTTTGTGAGCCTTTCCTGAATTTTCTTATTACTACTACGTTATTCAAAATTCGATAGCTCTAGGTACCATTGTTTTCTCAGAGTGCGAGAAACATACATACATTCATGCAAATTATTAATTATTTAATTTCTTTAAATAAAATACAAAGCGATAATATTGCGTGGCAACAATTTGAAAAGTGATTTTAGCGTTTCATCGCAAAATGCCGTTTCGAGACTAAAATCTCATTCGGTACTAAAGTCCCTTTTGAGCTAATAATCTTTTTTATGTAATCAATTGGATCCTTATTATCAATTGCCCGAGGCATATTCAGCAATCAACCCCCCCCCCATCGATAGAGAATGTTTTTATTGTTTAAAGGATAACACTGGAAAATATATCTCTATTTAAGCGCTAAGCGAAATTCTACTTTTCACAGTTTCATATTTTTAGCATCTGAAATTTTATCTCAGGTTTCATATCATATCACCATCTGAGGTAAGTTCAGTCCCTTGATTGACATCTGAATTGCTTGAAGATCGTGGAAAAAGCAAAAATAGGTTCAGAAATCTGTATCGGCATTATTCTGCGAAAACACTTTGATGATCTTTCTACCTGATAGGTGATATCATATTCTCTCGAATTCACAGTCTGTCAATAATCTTATCAAGGGAAGTTTAAGAATATTGATATCAAATAGCAAAAATTGCTCTTGGAATCTTCTTTGTAGGCAGCATTTAGCCCCCACACTTTTCAACGTTTGTTCAAACTGGCATATTTTAATCTTATATTAGAAAAGGCGAAGAGAAAAAAAAAAAAAGTGTGTACCGTCGGCGCAGTCAATTTGAAAATTTTATTACTAATATTTACTTATTTGGTTAACATAAGCATATATTACATACGTATTAAACTAAAGCCTTCATGTCAAGCTTTCATGTTTCCTAGCCTTCATGTCGGCTTCGTACTCTGCACTGCATGTTTCGGAAAGAATTTTCTCAGTCAACAACCAATCAGCTTCTAGGTCGATTATTATTATGCGTGGAATTTTTCTACGTTTTCTGTGCGATCGTTAACTTCCATTTTTTCATTCTCTGCATTAACCTGCTAACTGAAGCGCTCTCGTTTAAGAGTCCGCGCCGTTTTGTTTCGCCAGGATCGAGCCTTGACGAGTATATTCGTCAATCACAGAGTAAGTAGCGCTGGTAAGATATTGATTGAAAAAGATGGGTTTATTTTATAAAATTGAACATTTTATTACTAATATTTACTTATTTGGTTAACATAAGCATATA